ATGGCTCGATAAAATGAAAACTGAGTTGTCAAACTACGAAATGACAGCTGATGTTAAGACAGCTATGGTAAGAAATTCTGCAAGACAGATATGGTTTAACAGTGGAAATTCGAGTTCCCACCTGGCATTTCTATCATAACATAGCTTTTTTAACAGTATCTGTAGAGTGTGGAGACGTGAGGTAAAAATCTCCAGCAAAGAAAAAATCTATTACTATATGCAGAGGTGCCATCTTTGTTTTTTAAATGTCCAACGCAGTCGACCCCTTGTTTTTATAAATTTGAGTAAGCTAATTGAAAAGCTTAAAGTAAAATACACAACGTTCATTGTGTCAAAAAGGTTGAATCGGTATATTTGTATGAAGTAAGTTACTTGCACAATTCTGACGGAAACAGTGCCGCACAAATTAGCTCAACTTTGCTATGGGAATCCTTTAGGTTTAACAGGGGAAATGTTAACTCTCCACCTGACATTTCGTTTTAACACAGCTTTTTTAACAGAACCTGTAGAAGGAGGAGACGTGGGGTTAGTTTAGCTTTGAGGCTAACCTTCAAATTACTTTTCATATACACTTGGCGTGCGGCGAAGCGAACGATATAAATTATTCGAAACCAAGCTCGCTATTGTCTATAGTTACTATCTCACTTGAGCGAAACTCAAAGATTGCGAGCAGAAGGGCAATAAATCGAAGTCCGTTTTTTAAAAGCCTCTGAATGAATACATCCATCGTTATATCCACCACTACTTTATAATTTCTCAATTGTATTTCTCGTTTCTTAACACGTGGCATCACTTTGCTTAACGAACTGTCAAATGTTGACAAGTCAGTGCAAATTGGACAATAAGCTGGCAGCAGCAGCAGTGAAGTGAAAATTTTATTTATTGCCTTCAATTTAGCAAAAATTGTTGGAAAATATGGAAAACCAGTGTAAAATGTTGTGTATATTATGAGTTGTCGCGTCCCCGTGCTCCGTGTACATCTACATAAATGTTATAAATAAGTGATTGTGTACAAATAAACAAAACTACGTGTGAAAATCTCGCCCACGCCTTCCTTTCGCTTACCACATTCACAATTTCCCATCGCGTTTTCCGTGACAGCCATAAACGCAGTGAAAGCTGTTAAAAA